GTGCGCTTATGCGTGTCCCTTATAGACCTCTTAGGAGTGGAGTGAGGTCAATAGTGGATAGTTTAAGGTTAAAGGAGTGGGGGGTTAGAGGATGTAACAACAGAGTCAGGTAGAGTATTCCAGGCATTGACCACTCTATTGCTGAAGTCGTACTTTCTGCAATCAAGTTTGGAGCGGTTTATATTGAGTTTGTATCTGTTGTGTGCTCTTGTATTGTTGTGGTTGAAGCTGAAGTAGTCATTGACTGGTAGGGCATTGTAGCAGATAATTTTGTGTGCTACGCTTAAGTCCAACCGTAGGCGGCGTAGTTCAAGGTTGTCCAAGCCCAAAATCTCAAGCCTGGTGATATAAGTATTCTATTGCGAGCAGAGGAGTGTAGTAACTCTTCTCATGAAATACTTCTGGACTTGCTCAATTGTATTAATGTCTGATATACAGTGCGGATTCCAGACTGATAAGGTTGGGAAACCCTGGTCATGGGGTTCCATAAGACTAAACTGGAAGGACCAGAAAAAATCATTATGGTCTTGGCGTTTGCAGAGGTGGTATTCAGCAGGCTCTGACCAGTTCTGGAGAATCAGTAGTGGAAATTTTGAGTAGTTTGAAGAACCGGCAAATACCACCTCTGACTGGCCCTGCCCTCATCTATTCTCAGCCTCATGAGTTCCAGCTGATCGGCTGAGTCTTCTTTTGTTGCCCTGCACAGGAGAACGGAGCTGGAAAGCAGGTTAGTGGGGTGGGGAGGGAATGGGATTTTGCAGTATCTTTCCCTTGGAGTGGAGTGGGAATGGAGATTTTACAGTATCCTTCCCCTGCCATGCCCACCAAGCCATGCCCACAGAACCAGTAGTAAAAAAAAATTGAACCCCACCACTGGGTGTTTGGCACCCCAACAATCAATAGAAGGCAATCAACAACAAGACCTGAAACTCTAAGTTAGAAACTTTAAACCAGCATGATTAAGAATTTGGAACAAAAGCACCATTAAGATGACTCTGCTGTGAATTTTTAGGCGGTTTTATTGATGGATGTCATTTCCTTCATAAGGATTTTTTTTTTACAAAGTGAATAGAATTCTGCCACACCTTACATCAAAGAAAACTGTCATTGTCAAAAGAACAAGGACAGAGCCATGCAAGAATAATGCAGAAATTGTTGATATTTAAGCTTACCACATCCAACTTATGCAATGTAACTCTTGCACAAACCATTTTTAATTTCTCCTGCAAAACTTGGTGCATTGCAAACTATAACCCCCAAATGAGATGTAATTTCTTCCATGCAGCAGAAGAAAAATACCTGGCAAAAGATTTGTGTCTCTATTATTTACCTTATTTCTATTACTATATTTTTGACTTTGCAATTAAAATTTAAAAATACAGTTTAAAAGTGCTCTTTACATTTTGAGAGCAAAAGATTATCATAAGTAAATTCTGGCAAATAAATGCCTTCTTTTAACCATGGTTTTTGTTTCCTGCAAGGATAATGTACTTTGTTTTGACAACCCTCCTCTCAACTTAATCATAGAGCTGTTACATAACTTTGGTGTACAAGCACAGAAGTGTTTTTTTTAATGCACATTGATTTTAAAAATTACTCAGTTTTCACATAAAAATATATCATCATGGTCAAACAAAGTGATAAGCAAAGTTTGTGATTTTTTTAAAAAGTCCCATTTGAGAACAAGTAATAGCCAAGGAGAATTCCTATCTCACATATTAGTGAGCATCGTAAGTGATTTGTGGAACAGATTAAACATGTTCTAATTTCTACCTTATCTCAGATAGTATCTATCAATAGCACAATGATTTACAACAGAGCTAAGAGTCCAAGATTGATATTTGCTCAAAACTATAAGCAACTGTGAAAAGTGGGAAGGAAGGAAGGAAGGAAGGAAGGAAGGAAGGAAGGAAGGAAGTTGTAATTGCTACTAAACCCAAAAGGCGTGAAGCTGGGAGTAGTGGGTTAGATTTACTTATGTCCACAGTTCTGGTTAAAATTGTGGTTTAAATGCTGCTATTTGCATCTCTTGGTATCCGAAGTCCATGTCACTGGATAGCAAATAAACTGGGGAGGAATTTTCCTGCCTCTTGTCATGGTCTTAGTATAAGTCTCTTCATGGCATGATGGGCAGCAAATAAATGTAGTAAATAAAATAAGATAATTAAAAAGTAACAGTCATATAGCACTCCTTCAAAATAAATGCCATATCTGTGGCACAGACTCTTAACTGAACTGCAAACAACCTTCATGCATGTATGTGCCCATGTGTACACGCACACGCACACACACACACACACACACACACACACACACTGCAATTAGTGCCTGCAATTCAGTTAGTTCCTGGATTTCATGTTCATGAAATCAGATTAAACGCGCAAGTAACCCCACTTCGTAAAGTCATACACCAGCATGTACTGTCCTATCAACCCTTATTTTTCTTCAGTTAAATACTGGGGAATTTGCTTTATTCTCGTTCTCCACCACAGGTTCTTCTGCCAAAGAGTAAGATCAAGACTTCTCTGTAGTATTTGCTTCATTTTCCTTTGTATGGCCAGTGGTGCCTCAAAGGATTGATTTGAAAGGATGCAGGTTGTGTGGGAGGAAAGAGGAGTCACATAACTGGATCCTTCTGTTTCTAGATAAAGGCAAGGAAGGTGGGGCCAGTAGAGGTTTAAAGGGGGTAAACTCTGTGGAAATAAATGGCTCTTGATCTAATAGCCCCACCAGCAACCAGGAAGACTCAGCCAGATGACACCTATTCTCTACAGGGATGTGCGTCTTTTCAAGTTATTTCTACTTCTACTGATACTTACAGGTAAGGAAAAAAAACTTGGGAATACCAATGAAGTGTATTGAGATCCTGAAGTCAGAATAAATGTTCTAGGAAATGAAATATTAGTGTGATGACCCAGGGTGTGGCACAAAGGCAACATAGTCATAAACAGTTGGAGTTCCTTTATTAGCTCCAACTTTGCCCCCAATGTCCTGGTTACCTTCTGGCTGGAAAAAAAACTCTCCCAGGAACAGCCTTTGGCTGCAGAGAATCAAGTCCAAAATGTGGTCAACAAAAACTGTAACTATAAGTCCAAACAAGGCAAAGTGAAGTAATTAGTCCAGCAAGGCAGGAGAAGGAATTCCAGATGTGAAGGCACTGCAATAACTCAACACGGTTGGGAGGATGCCAGGAATGCAGATAACCAAAGTCAACACAAGATAAACTTGTTCCCAGCAGACATTACATTCAGCATGCATTTCTTTTAAGCTCTCTTCCCAGATGTGGCTAATGAATGGAATCAGGGCCCTTTCCTCCCCCCATAAGCCACGCAACCCACGTTGCTGTCTGCTCTGTTCCTCCCTGCATGCCCTAGGATGAAGAGGGGGTGGGCCCGAGTCTTCCTCTGAACTCCCTCTCCCTTGTTCTACCTCTTCCCTGCTCTGCCCAGTCGGACTTTGCCCTTCCCCAGTTTCCTCCACAGCCAACAAAATCACACTCCCACTCCGTCAGCTGTTCATCTTCCTCGGATTCAGACTCCAACAGGGGCATAACAATTAGCTTTCTTCCTGTGCATTCCGACAGCTTTTCTTATGACCCTTTTTCTGTGCATTTACACATCCTTCAAAATTTGGTGGTGAAAGCAGAGGCATCGTATACTACTATAACCTTATAAAAGTTTAGAAATAATAATCACGTCCTTTTTATATTCAAAAAGCACACATATTACCAAAGCGTATTTAAAAAGACTGCATTGTTTCATAATCCCACCCTGCACTCCCAGCAGTGGGCAAGACACTGAGTCGTTTCCAAAAAAGGCTTTTTATAGGGATGAATGCAGGATATGGTCAAAGGGTCAACTTCACCCCATGAATACTGTGGCATCACTTAGGTTTTTTTGACTCCACAAATGGGCACAGTTGCCATGTGAAAATCAGAGACATTTTAATTGGCAGAACTAGAATTAGCCAGTGGTTGCATTGCTGGGTACAGGATGCCCTCTTCTGGCACCTGATCTCCTCAGCAGCATTGTTTCAGTTGAATTGCTCTACAAGCTGGTTTTTATATAGGTAGTTCTCGACTTATGACCGCAATTGAGCCCAAAATTTCAGTTTTAACTCGAGACATCCCATGACAGGATGTGAAGTTACTTCACATAAATTAACTAAATTAACTGAATGCCACAGTTGTTAAGCAAATCCATTTTCCCCAATGGTTTTTTTTTTTTTTTGCTGGAAACTGGAAGTAAATACAGAAACCATAAAAAAATAAACATCGCAAACCATGGTTATGTGACTGTCGGATGCTGCAAATCGTTGTAAAGATGAGCCAGTTGACCAAAATGCAATCACACGATTGCAAGAGGGTGCCTGGCCACTGTAACTCTGAAAACGGGTCATAAGCAGCTCTGGGAAAGTTCATTATAACTTTGAACGGGTCATTTATTGATTGGTCGTTAAGTCGAGGACTATCTTTAAGCATCATTTCCACAAGTAAGAAATCTTTCCTAGCCCTTTCACTCCCTGCACCTTGTCAATATGGTGCTTTTTTCTTGTCCTTCAGAAAAAGGTACTTCACAAATGCAAGTTGAACAGTGAACTTAAGAGAGATATACATGGGCACATCCATTTATATAGATGAGCCCACAAAATAGGAAACAGTCAGATTACCATGGCAAAAGATACTGCTGCTTCTGTTTAATGAATAATAAAAGATATAAGCATCCAGAGAAAGCAATTCTAATAGTTGTTGATGTATGTAGAGAGAAAATAATTTTTTAGTATCAACTGCTATGCAGTGGTATAATCTGCATTGCCAGAATTGATCCAAATTACTTTTTATAATTAAAATACTGAGTTTGCAACAGTCCAACCTTTATGGGGAGAAGTAGTAGCTGGGGTTGCAAACAGGCAGTAAGTAATCTAGATTTAGTAATCCACTTCATCTTCTGAATTGCACCAGCTGCATTTCAAGGTGTAATCCAATTCTAAACTGCAACCCATGGTTCAAAGGTCCTTTTATTCAGCCATCCCATAGTTAGCATAATGATTTGGAAAAGAAAAAAAATTACAGACAAAGAGCTGAAGTTCATCCTTGTTGCCTTAAATTATGGCTTAGCACAAACTCTAAAACAGAATAATAAAGATTCATATTCCAAAACTGGGACAAAAACAGAAATACAGAGGGTACTTCCTTCCACAAACTGGAAAAGAGAGCCAAAAACAAGTGTAAAATGTTGTTTTTGTAAAACAACATTTATACACACATATGAGCTTAGAACAAAGGGTCTTCAAACTTGGCAAGTTTAAGACTTGTGGACTTCAACTCCCAGAATTCCTGAGCTAACATGACTGGAGGAGGAATTCTGGGAGTTGAAGTCCACAAGTCTTAAAGCTGCCAAGTTTGAAGAGCCCTGGTCTAGAATGTTAAGACACTAAGGAGGATAAACTTTTACTTCTGGCCCAATGCACCATTTTGTTTTTCCAATTTCAGAAATTATTATTTTGCCTGTTATCCTAGAGATAACAATATCACAGATTATCCCAGAAGTACACACGCAGACCTTCCAAAATGCTCAACATTTGTCCATAAGGCCTTATGGATACCGTAGTCCAAAATATCTGAAGGGTACCAGACTATCTATCCTTGTTTCATTTCTGGGACTTATCCGGTCTGTGACCCATAATAAAGATATCTGACTTGATTCTATGGCTGACCTGAACAAAGGAGAGAAACCACTTGTTATTGCCACAAAATACACCCAATACGGATGGACATTTGGATTTGGATATAAAAGTAAATTGAATGATAAAACAAAAACATGAGCTTTAATAAAAGTGAAAAGACTTTGAATCCATTCCATTAGGTGCAAACAATATTTCTTTTATCTCTTTTTTTGGAATCCATTAAAGCAAATCCAAATTGTAGGAAAATCCGTAGCAAAAATTCTAAAGTTTTCCATTAGCTTTTGGTTCTCAAAAAAAGCCTGTAATTTCTTTCTTCCAAATCAATCTGCGGATGTCAATAAAATACCTGATCTACTATAAAAAGTACTATTTTAAAAATAAGGCTTTTATTACAACTTCAATATCAAAAGTATACAGAGCTCCACAACTTCTGGAGCTGCCACAGGCACGCCAAGAATATGATCCTGCCACTCAGTTCGATCAAGGATTCTCATCCAGGAGTCTCATCTTCATCTTGGGAAGCATAGATAGCCTGGTTCCGCCTTTTGATTTTCTTGGGGCCAACTGTCCCTTCTTTGTTCTCATCACTTAAGCGCTTCAAAGGCTTCACACCAGGGCTTTGCTCCCCGGCCTGATTTCCATTGCTGGATTTCTCCAGTTCATCTTCTACAACATCCAGAGTGTCGTTGGGGGACACTGCCATAGAACCAGGCAGGATTCTGATATCAGAAAAGATTTCTGAAGTATTGCAGGAAAAGTCAGAGGATGGCCCTTCTGAGGCCTCCAAGTCGTCATCGCAGCTATCCTCATCCAGTAATATTTCATCAGGGTTCAAAGAAATTGAACTAGAGACATCGGTGCTAGACTCCATCATTGACCCAGTAGTGTCTATTTCTTCTTCTTCTTCTTCCTCCTCCTCTTCTTCCTCTTCACCCCCGTGCACATTATCTCTGCGCTCTTCCTTCTGTTGTTGGATTTTAGTATTGATGTCCACAAGGCCAAACCGGGCACAGAACTCGGTAGTCTGGGGGTTGATTCTATGAATCAAGTCCGTCCTTTGTGGAGACTTGTCTGAATTGTAGCAAGCCTCTGTAATGCTGAAGTTCTGGGGAACCACAAGGTCATGGTTGACCTCTTCCAAAAGCTTCTTGATGTCTTCTTCCGTAACACTGTAGTCCCATCTGCAAAAGGGGAAAAGTTCAAGAGTTTCGGTGAAATGAACCCTCCCTATTCTGTACTCCTCTACATGCTTTTTATCAGGAGCAAAGAAATTATGGAACTCCATTCAGATGTGTCCATAATTGCTGGCCATTCTTCCTAAGGTAAAGGTAAAAGTTCCCCTCGCACATAAATGCTAGTCGCGTCCAGCTCTAGGGGGTGGTGCTCATCTGCATTACAAAGCCGAAGAGCCAGCGCTGTCTGACGACGTCTCCGTGGTCATGTGGCCAGCAAGATTAAACGCTGAAGGCGCACGGAACGCTGTTACCTTCCCACCAAAGTGCTCCCTATTTTTCTACTTGCATTTTTTACGTGCTTTCGAATTGCTAGGTTGGCAGAAACTGGGACAAGTAACGGGAGCTCACTCCATTACATAGTGCTAGGGATTTGAACCGCCGAACTGCCAAGCTTTCTGATCGACAAGCTCAGCGTCTTAGCCACTGAGCCACCGCATCCCTGGCCATTCTTCCTACAGCTGCCCAAAGTTGGTAATTCAGCATCATCTGAAGTACCAAAGGTTGCCCAGCCTTGTTTTTGATTGTTACTTAACAGGGCTATCAACCCATATGGACGGAAGCTGGTAGACACAATGTACAGACAGTCCTCGACTTACAATAGTTCCTTTAGTGACCGTTCGAAGTTACGCCGGCACTGAAAAAAGTGGCTTGTGACCATTTTTCACCCTTGCAGCCGTTGTGGCACCCCCATAGTCACCTGATCAAAATTCAGACAGCTGGCAACTGACTCATATTTACGACGGTTGCAGTGTCCTGGGATTACATGATCCCCTTTTGCGACCTTCCGATAAGCAAAGTCAATGGGGAAGCCAGATTCACTTAACAACCGTCTTTACTAACAACTGCAATGATATACGCTTAACAACTGTGGCAAGAAAGGTCGTCCAATGGGGCACTTAAAATTCACTTAGCAAAGATCTTGCTTATCAGCATAAATCTGGGGCTCGATTTTGGTCATAAGTCAAGGAATACCTGTATACAAAGTCCTTGACTTAGTCCGAGTAAGGTTGAGAAACCCGGTCTACACTTCTAGCCTATAGTTCTCTAGAACAGTGACCCCTGACTTTTCTGGGTTGGCGGCCTGGATGGTGTGAGCACACGATGCAAATGAGGTGGTGATGGCAGCACCCACACAGCACTCATAAAGTTCATAAAGTTTCTTAGCAGTTTCGATATAGTGGCTTAGAATTTCAGCTCTTATTTCTAATGTCTGGGCAGGAAGAATCTCTCTAACTACCCAACAGCTTACATCAGGGGTGTCGAACTCGATTTCATTGAGGGCCACATCAGGTTTGTGTTTGACCTGGGGGAGGCAGGTGGGCATGGCCAGGGTGGGTGTGGCTAGCTTGACGTCACTCATGTTGGAGGCACCTGCGGTGGCCCGAGTGCTCTGCTGGTGAAAACGGAGCTCTGGGTTTGCTGGCAGAGTGTTGCAGCTACATTTTTGCTGGCAGAAGCACCGCGGGCCGGTCCTTCGCTGTTCCCAGGGAGGCCCCGTGGGCCAGATGTGGCCCCCCGGCCTTGAGTTCGACACCCCTGGCTTACATGGTTGAATCTTCTTGTAAAGCAACTGCATTTTGTGCTGAATTATATTTTTCCTTTCTTTATTCCAACACAGCGCTCGTGGCAACGCTAGCACAAGTGCACGTACTGGCCGGCCAGCCAGTCATGCGGCCCGGTGGCCAAAAGGCCATGGCCCACTAGTGGGCTGCGGCCCATGGGTTGGGGCCCTCTGCTCTAGAACTTCAGACTGAATTTACCAGCCTGCAAGATTACGGTACACCTACTTTTCATGCAGTCCGTTATTTTCAGGCATGTTCCAGTAACAAGGAGAGACATTAACGAGATCATTGGTCGCCTTCAGAACAGCAATCCACTCAGGGTCATATTCCAGACAGTCAGATGCAGTGGCGTTGTGTTCGATCTCTACAATCTTAAGAGAAGAATGAGAAATCAAGAGAGGCCTCTTGGCTCTCACAACAGAGAAAAGACAATCGTGAACTTTCGTATTGTACAGGTGAACTTCAAGGAGAGAGGGGAGCAGAATGTCAACTCATAAAATATTTCTATGGTCTTTTTAGAGTTGCCAACAGAAAGGGAGGTGGGAAAGGGGTTTGAAAGAGTAATGTGGCAGCTTGGAAACCAAAAGTGCATTCCATAAATAGTTTTTCAGAGATAATAACCAGGTGACTGAAGTTTCTGCGGTGGCAAAATTCTAACTGGAGAACATGATTGATGACTCTTGGCTATGGATGTGTCTCATTGGAGAATATGAATTACACCCAGGGGGTGGGGTGGGGAAAACAATGGGTCAAGGGCGACAATGAATGATGTGTCTCAGAGTCGGCTACACCCAGGCAATGCCAGACATATTAACTCCCAATAAATTATTTTGAAGTTTTGGAAGTTTGGCTCGAGACTCATGATCTAATTGGGGTAACTGCTGCAACCCTGACACAGGGATACCTATACAAGTCCTCACCTTTCAACAGTTCATTTAGCGGCCGTTCAAAGTTACAACAGCATTTAACAAAGTGACTTATGACTATTTTTTCACACTTAACAACCCTTGTGGCCTCCCCGTGATCATGTGATCAAAACTGACACGCTTGGCAACTGACTCATATTGATGATGGTCGCAGGGTCATGTGATCACCTTTTGCGACCTTCTGACAAGCAAAGTCGGTGGGGAAGCTGGATTCACTTAACAACCGTGTTATTAACTGAACAACCGTGTTACTCATTTAGTGACTGCAGTGGCTCACTTAACAACTGCATCAAGAAAGGTCATAAAACGCGGCAAAGTTTGCTAAACCAACTGTCTCACTTAGCAACAGAACTCAGCTGTGGTCATTACGCCGAGGATTACCTGTACCTCAGAATCCTAACTGTAATGTAGGTGTGCAGAATCTTTAGCTAGGGGCCAAAGATGACCTTAGTGGGTTTGTGTCAAAGTATAAAGCTGGAAAGGCATAAATTGGGGAGGGAAGCCCTATGAGAGGAAATCCCCTTTGCTCTTTTTTAAAAAGAGTTTTAAATTTATTTTTTTTACACATCTCTTCACGTCAGCAACGTGATTCCAGATTACATCATTTATGCATAGTCATAATTACATTTCCAACTATCTTGTTTAACATTACATGAAATCATTATCCATTCCACCTTTAGAAAAGTTTCCATGTCATATTTCAATTCATTAGTTCAATATCAATATCATTTCATCCTCACATATATTTTGAATTCTTTATCCCCTATTAGTCCCATTTTCAGCTTACACCTATTTTATTTTACATTGTACATCATTATCATCCTTAGCTTTCTCTAGACCGAAATATAATAAACAACCAAAAAAGAGTAAAAATAAAATGAGACTAATATATTTAGGATCCACATGGTATATCCCCCAATCTACATTATATCTTATATTTATTCCAGAGATATTCATATAACCATTTCATTTTTTCCCTTTATTTTCACTTAGCCAAGATTTACCTATATAATTTAATAAATTTTCATTCCCCTACTTTTAATCATAATAAAATACACTCATTATAAATACTTTCTATTCTGATATAATCCCTTTGCTCTTGTTGCTGTCTTTTGCAGGAGCGTCAAACTCACGTCGTCATGGCGGTGTCACGTGATGTATCGGGACTTTTCTCCCCCCCCCCCTTTGCTAAACCAGGCATAGGCGTGGCCAGCGCGTGACACATATGGCCCGTGGACCATGAGTTTTGACAGCCCTGACCTATTGAGTAAGAGTCTCGTATGTAAATTGATGAGATACTAAGTTCTCCAAGTATGTCATGCTTACAGTTAAAATCCTTCTCCCAGACTGGGTCAATCAAGTGAAGAGCAGCCTTTAAACGTTGATTGATGAAATTAGGATCAGATGCAAATTCAGTTGAGGTAAAAATAATAATAATAACGAAAGCACACCCGCCCACAAAGTGGTTAGCTAATCATTTTGCTCTCCTCCCACAGAAGACTCCAAAGTTTGTTGTATCTTACCGATATATCCTAATGCGGTGCTGGCAAACCTTTTCGGCACAAAAAGCGCAAGTACGCACGAGGGAAACCGGAAGAGCAGCTCTCTGGCATGCATGCACGCGCCGGGAAGCTGCTCTTCCGGTTTCCAGCAAGCTTCCGCGCACGAACACCAGCTGGCCAGTGTGCATGTGCATGCCGGAACCCGGAAGAGCAACAGGTGACAGCTGGCGTGCCTGGAGAGATGGCTCTGCGTGTCACTTCTGGCACGCATGCCACAGGTTTGCCATCACTGTCCGAATGTATCCAAAAAGAAAAACTGAGGATTGTTTTACCTGAAGGAAATCCCTGTGGGGCAGGCATTTATCCAGAGCCAGAAACTTGGTAGTTTTGGGTTGCTCTTCATTGTTATCAGCCTAAAAAAGCAAGAACGGGGACAATCATATTGTGAAAGGCCTCCCCCTGCCACCTTTTTTAAGGTTCAATTTTTAACGTTCATGATAACATGATACGATTTCTAGCTTCTATTGCCACTGTGCTCAGTGTCATCTGTATTCTATAATGTAGTGTTTTCCTCAACCTTGGCGTCTTTAAAGATATGTGGACTTCAGCTCCCAGATCTTGTCCTTTACGACAACAGGCCAGGGAGTGGTGTGAATCCCACCATTTGAATTGATATTATTTCACTATAGTGGATTTCCCTTTCCCCACAATTTGGCCATTTTTACTGTTGTTTTAATTGATTTTATAATCTACTTTTAACTTTTTAATCTTCTGTAGCCTGTCCTGGGTCAATGGTGAGACGGTAACTTTAAACCATGAAATAAAGAGTTGATAAATAAGTAACAATCTTGGTATTCCTTTAAGAAGCTGGTATCTTAACTATTATAGTTTGAAACAGACGTCTTTCGAGTACTAACATTCCTGTGAAACATTTTGCAAAATTGGGAGATTATGTCCACCGTTAAAAGTTCTCCAGTTTTCATTACAATGTACTCAGTTTAAAGAAAGCAATCCCCCTCACCCCCATTCTCTACATTTCTTACCTATGGGGGTCTCCAACCTTGGCAAATTTAAAACTGGGCTGTTGGCCTGAGCTCCAAGCCTGGAAATTTGATTGCAAACATTTCGTCACCATTCGAGGAGACATCTTCAGTGTGCTTTGAATTGTGCTCGCGCACTGACAATGTCTCCTCGAACGGTGACCAAATGTTTTCAACCAAATTGCCAAGCTCAGCCCAACAGCCCAACGGCCCAACTACCAACCTGAGCTACTTATATTCAAATACATATCAAATTTAAAACTTGTGGACTTCATCTCCCAGAATGCATCTCCCACCTCCCATGCTGGCTGGGGAATTCTGGGAGTTGAAGTCCACAAGTCTTAAAGTTGCCATCGTTGGAGACCTGTCTCTTACCTGATGCTGCATTAATGCTGCAAACTTGACGTGCAAATGAGCCGAAAACCAATAACTGGGTTTCAGGTGCTGCAGGAGTTCTGATGCCGCCGGGCTCCCTAAAGTGTTGTTCTCCACTTCTGAGCGGAAGAAGGATTTCTTCTTAAGCAGCAATGTCTTGTTTCCGTAATGGTAGATGCTTCTAGGCCAATCGTGGGACAAAAATACGTCCATGGGCTGCTTGAGCTGTCAAGCCGAAAACAACAGCAGAAGTGAAATGAGATTGTTGCCGTTGATGGTAAAGGGAAGATAGTAGCCAGGTGCAAACCATTTCCCATCGGCTTCAGCTGAAAGATCAGATAAATTTCCTTCCCTTGTGATTTTTAAAGACAGTTTTATTTCACTAGACTGAATCCTACCAAAGTTTGATGGGTGCGTTGTCTAGAGCAGTGGTCCCAAACTTTTTGGGCACCAGGGACCGGATCTGTGGAAAGAGGTTTTTCCGTGGACCGGAAGGGGCGTGGTTTTGTGTGCTGCCTGCATTCCATGGATGGGGCTTTGCTTGTTTGGGCAGCCCGGTTTCTAGTATGCCACGGCCCAGTGCCAGCTTACAGACTGGAGGTTGGGACCCCTGATCTAGAGGAAGGTTGTAGTTTTGATTTACTTCTACTGTTGCATTGATTTACTTTGTAGTTGGCTGATGTCTTTTTGAGTTGAGCTGGTTATAGGAGCTGCAAATGTCAGTCAACTTTGGCATAAATACATTGAGGATATTAGATGATATTGAAGAATTGTTTGAGGGAGATGGGCAATATAGAAATGTGAAATATAAACAAATTAATAAATAAGAACACTTATGGAGAAGAAAAATATATTGGCTTTGTTTAATATAAACCAGATTTGCACATAGCATTTCTTATTAAGCTAATATGATTCCAGCTTAGCTGAACAGCCATTATGGATTGTAAAGTATTGGGTTATTATGTGGTATGTATGCAACAAGTGGTTTATTCAATAAATTATGGTTCAGCAAACCATGATTGGACATAAGGTTTGAACAGAGATACAGAGATCATCTTCAGAAAGAGACCTTCCATAATCAATCCAGATTTAATGCTGGAGTCTTATAACAATTAGAGGTCATATTTAGCCAATTTACTAGGACACAAAGGTAAGTCTGACTTTTCTGTGTCCTAACCCAGTTAGGTTGTGAGTTACTCATCTCTGGAGGTTTTTACAAAGAGGGTGGACAACCACCTCTCCTACAGAGGTTGGACTAAATGATCCTTGAGGTCCCTTTCAGCTCCATAATTCTTCTGTGCATTGGCCCTCCTTTACAGCACCCCCTACTTCATTTTAGATGGTGGGAATGAATACGAAGAGCCCAATAAATGACAAGATGATATTTAGATTTACCTGCTTCAGCTTGAAAACTTCAATATTTCTTACATGATAGATGCTTCGTACTGTTTCTTGGGTGTAAGGAGGATACTCAAAGTGACCTGAAACAAGTTCAGAAACAGCACCTTGAAACATCAAGAAATGTTCACTTTGAAAGACAGGCCCTGGGTAATACTCATAGGAGGAAGTCCAAGGCTGAAGGCTAAACTATCAACTTAAAAATAAAATCCCAGAGAGCAATAATAGTAAGCCACATCCATTATCTTGCCAAAAAAATTGCAGAGATGAATCTAAAGTTTGATAAACTTGAGTCCAAAGTCAAAGGAGACATGAATTGGAGACAGTAAGAGTTGGCTCCTGCACAGTCAAAGGAACAAAAAATCTGATCGCAGACTTGATTGTTACCAAAATATGAGACACATACAAACAGGGCCACCCACACAGAGGACTGGCCTTTGATACACGGCAATCACTAGAATTCTTTCATAATGTCTCCTTAACTTTTCTGTAATACAACTATCTGATCAGAAGTTATTCCATCCTTGTGTGTTTGTTTTATTAGTTCCAAGCTAACTTCAGAGGAGGGATTTTTGAGATTGTGTTAGTCAAGTAACCCAAGATCAAACTATAGCTTCAGATCCTATTTTGACAACCCAGCTTCCCATTACAGTTGATCAATCCTAAACATATATATCAGTAACAATAAAAGCAGCAAAAAGCACTAGAACCAAGCCACACAAATTTCAATGGCCCATTTGCTTCAAACAAGAGCTTGAAGAATTACTCACACGTACCTCTTCTGTAATCATGACCTTTGAAAATACCAGAGAGGCCACCAATTCTCACCCCTCGGTACCTGACAACTCCAGCATAACCTGTAGAGAGTAATAGAATAACCTTGACAAAGAGAAACATTACCTAGGTTAAAAGCAACCATTTAAAATCCAGAATGTCCAGATAACAATGGAACAGGTCTCATGAAGGCTCCTCCCTAATTCTCAAGGCTCAAAACATCTTAAAAAGTTGCACAGCAATTAAAATGGAGCACGGAAAAAAAATAAAGATATAAAACACTGGAGAGGAGGGGGGAACCTGCTTCAATATCCCGAAGCAAACTGCTGCAGTTAAAATGATGTGTTTTTATTTATTTATTTTTATTTTAACAACATAGACAAACACAAACATAAACACAGAACATAAAACCATCTTTCCATTGTACAGTGTGTTGGTTGGTATATATCTCTTGGGCACAATATTAACAGTCTTTCTCTCCTTAAAATTCATATTATATAAATCAACTATCCATACCGTATTATATTGTTATCAAACCATTATTAGACTTTGATTATAAATTCATATCATTCTTTTCGAGCAAATCTCAACTTTTACAATGTCTAGTTCATAATATCATTCATTTCACCATCATCAAGTATTACATTTTATTAGTGTATGTATCATCTTTACTATTATACTATATCTATATTATAATGTATTTTGTTTCTCTATTTTCTTATCTAGCCATTGATAATATAAATCCCAAATTTTATAGTACTCTTTCTTCTTGCTCTCTAATAGCAAATGTCAATCTACTAATTTCTGCACATTTCATTTTTTTTTTAAATGATGTGTTTTTATGATGTTCTGCAAGATGGGCAGCTGTATAAATATAATGGATAAATAAATAAAACACTGATGGAAGAACCGCATTGTCTCATCCATGTAGGGTTCCATTCCATCCCTTCTCCATTTCTACATCAAGCATTTGATACTTATCAAGCCAGAAAGCAAAAAAGAACAATACCAAGATAATAGATGTTGGGGGCCACCCATCCACCATATGGTAACTCTTGCAAGTGGTTGGAGGCCTCGTGGTTGCCACCAATGAAGATAGTCAGGACAGGTGCTTTCTTCTCTCCAGAATAATATCTAGGAAAAGACAGTTGGAAGTTTGAGCTGTTAAAGATCCAGGTTTTTCTATTATGATATCCTCTACTTAGGGGAACTCACAGGATCACCATTAATTAAACCCTTTCCATTGGAACTGAAGGGAAGGGACTTGCCAAGAAGCTATGGCTAGTGGGCATAAAATTATAGCTGTGCTAGCCAAGTTCAGCAACTCTGCGGGCCCCCACTCTCATAGAACAGAATAACAGGGTTGGAAGAGACCTTGTAGGTCTTCTAGTAGTCCAACTAAGGCCACACTTGGAATACTGCATCCAATTTTGGTTGCCACGATTTTAAAAAGATGTTGAGACTCTAGAAAGAGCGCAGAGAAGATCAACAAAGATGATTAGGGGACTGGAAGCTAAAACATATGAAGAACAGTTGCAGGAACTGGGTATGTCATAAGGACTAGGGGAAACATGATAGCAGTCTTCCAATATCTCTCAGGGGTTGCCCCAAAGAAGAGGAAATATTCTCCAAAGCACCTGAGAGAAGGACAAGAAGCAATGGGTGGAAACTAATCAAGGAGAGAAGCAACCTAGAACTAAAGAGAAATTTCCTGACAGATAAAATAGTGGAAAGGCTTGCCTTCAGAAGCTGTGAGTGCTCCATAAGTGGAGATTTTAAAGAAGAGATTGGATGGCCATTTGTCTGGAATGCTATAGGATTTCCTGTTCGAGCAGGGGGTAGGACTAGAAGACCTCCAAGGTCCCTTCCAACTCTGTTATTCTATTCTACCCTCAACTCAGGAAGGGAAGTTATTATTATTATTACCTTTATTGTCAGAGTACAACATCCCGAGAGCATTTGCACCCAGACAAATTCCTTGTGTGTCCAACCACACTTGGCCAATAAAGAATTCTATTCTAGGTGGACCCCCTCTTCCTTGTGACAACCCCCTAGATATCGGAACACTGCTATCACGTCACCCCAAGTCCTTCTTTTCATCAAACTAGACGTGCCCCAATTCCTTCAACCGTTCTTCGTATGTTTTAGCCTCCAGTCCCCTAAGCATCTTTGCTGCTCTTCTCTGCACACTTTCTAGAGTTTTCACATCTTTTGTACATCGCGGAGACCCAAAACTCACAACGCTTCCCTCGGCTCTCCGCCTGCAACGGACCTCCCCCCCCCCCCCCGCCCCCGTTCCCCCCCCCCCCCCCTTCCCGGCCCCCCCCCCCCCACTCACTTAGCAAAGCCTCCCAACTGGCGGTACTTGGACGGCACCGCCATGCAGCGCAGGTCGGCCGCGTTGCGCACGGCTTGGAAATCCCCGGCGCAGAGCAGCAAATCCGGCCGGGCGTCGCCGTGGCGCTGCTCCAGCAGCTGCAGAGTCTCGTACAGTTTATCCAGCGCGCCATGACAGCAACCGGCCACCGCCACCTTCATCTTCCCGGACGAGACATGCGCGCTTTCGTCGGCCGGGGCCTCTCCCACGCAGGCGCCGGCCTTCGCTTTCGGGACGCGGCCGGAACCAACCGCCGCTTCTTGGCCCTCTGCCCATGCGCCCGCGGAAATGGAGGCCGGGTCCCGCGCTTTGCTGCCTTGCCAAGCGGGCACGGGGCTGTTTTGGAGCGGGAGGCGGTTTCTTTTTCTGTTTTTCGCCCTTTTCCCCCTCTTTCTGCTTTCCTTCCTTCCTGCCCCAGAGTTTATTTTTTTCCGGATTGGTTTCTCTGGAAAATGGCGTGGAAAGGAAAGATTCACGAGGGCAGCGCGCAGCGGAACGCCTTAAATTCGCTCCCGCCCTCCCGTTCCCTCCAACCCGTGGAAAATTCGCTTTTAGAAAGAAACATAATAGCATTTTTAGGGCACCTTTCCTTTTTCCTAACGATATATATTTTATATACGTACAAGCTTGCTGTAGTGGTGAAGGTGCTGGCTTAGAAACTTGGGAGAGTAAATTCTAGTCCCAGTTTAGAAATGAAAGCTGGTTTAGGTGGTTTGGCTCTTCTCTCTCTCAGCCCAATCCATCCCACCTCACAGGGTTGTTGTGGGGAAAATAGGATGTACGTTTGTTGTCTTGAGTTACTGATAACTTGAGGAAAGATTAAAAAATAAATACATAAATGGCCGCCATAGACGGGGGGGGGGGGGGGCAGATCCATAGGTTGGTATCTCTGGTCTCCTGTTTGCAATTAAGCCCCTAAACCTGCCATTAGGGTGCCATGGGAAAGATGATGAAATTGGCAGAGAAGTATGTAAAATTCAGAAAAGGGCATTGGCCTGATGTTGGACACTTGCCATAGATGTGACAGATTGTCAGTGGGTAAAGCAGAACAAAAACATACAAAAGGGTTGGCATTTCCCAACACCCTTGGAAATAAAAACTTCCACTCTAGAGTCTGAAGAAATTCAAGTCACTCTTAAAGTCAGTTTTTCCCCCAGGTTGTTGATTGCACCATCAGCAGGCCTCAACTGCCAAGTGTTCGCTTCCCTCCCTCTTTTCTCACGAGGTCAGTTGCATAACCTGTAGGAAAATACCAGAATGGAGTTGCCCAAACCTATTATTGAACCCAAATTAGCTCTAAGCCACACCTTTCCAAGCAATGCAGATGAACATGGAACAGGAGAACCCTCTGACACTGCCTAGACACCGACAGTAGCAGTTGATACCCCGTGGGATCAACAAAGGTGCCGTGCATTCAACATCAAGCATCCGCTTTGAGTATGGAGTTGCTCCTGAGGCAGAAGTGGGAAATGCCGGATCTGCTTATACCTTGGCAAGGTCCCTAAACCGCAGGGAAATGGCCATATGCTTCCTCTTGATGATGATCTTTATTTGGATGCCATTTTTCGCTTCAGGTAGGTGGTGATACCCCCAATTCAGGCAGGTCCTTAAAGCAAAGTGAAAACATGAAGTAATATTTCTAGGAGTATGGATTTAGAGCCAAAGAAGGCAGAGTTCTTCTTGACTGGAGTTGCAAAAGTTCAACGGATCCTTTGTAGCTCAGTTCGCTAGAAACCGGATATAAAGAACAGGCAATGTCGATGTAGCTTTCTTAATTAAATGTGGTTTTTTTTCCAGCAACCGGATTTAGGGAAGAGGAAAATTGTTTTGTTGAGGCTCGTCGTTTGTAATACAAACTCTTTGGACAACATCAGTGTGTAAAACTGAATCTTTTAATATTTAGAAACATGTATTTCTAACACATCACTCAAGTAGAATTGACATTTGAATATTGGTTAAAAAAACAACAACAGAATAATCTGATAAATGGATAGAGTGATGAATTCGCACTGTATTAATTTCAAAAGGTTTATGCTAGGTATGTTTAAATCTAGACTACTTTGCCAACAGCTAAGAAAAAAAAAATCATAAGACTTATCCTTCATGCACACTGTAATGGTGACTGAGAACAATGTTTGCACTGTAATGTCATTTCCTATAATATCTGTTGTGGGAAGAAGTAAGATTCCTTAGAACGATGGGCCGATCGTAATTTTGAGGCAGGAAACAGAGGATACAATGGGATTAGGGAAAATTATATTTCATTTTGTGTACAGTGTTTGATGTTGGATTCAGTCTGGAAGTGTCAGCCCAAGGCTACCAGAGTTATTTTGGAGCTAGGTGGCCTCAGTTAATAAACAATAAACAAGACTTTTTCTAAGTGTAATATCCAATTCCAGCCATATTATTATTCCATATTATTCCAGTAAATGGGATAGGGAATATAGCTTGTTTTTGACTGATTTCATTTATTAAATAAATAAAATTCTGACTTAGAACCATTTGTTTAGCGACTCTTCAAAGTTACAAAAACCTTGAGAAAAATGACTTGGAACTAGTCCTTGCACTAATGACTATTGTGGCATCGCCATGGTCACATGATCAGAATTAGAGAGCTTGGCAACTGGCATGTATTTGCAATGGTTGCAGCATCCATTATGGCCTCATTCCTGTGGAACCCTGTACCACTGGAGGTGAAAACTGCTTCCATCCTTTTGGTTTTCTGGAAGGGTATTAAAACTTGACATTGCTGGTTGACCTAGGACCCTGATGGGGGTGCTCACCACTGAAAGTGGTTGACAGGGTAAAAAGAACTCTTCCCTGTGCCAGCCAAATCCTAATTTTTGTACAGTTTTAAAATTTAAAATGTGTATATTTTAATTATTTTTCCCTTTGTCCTTTATAATCTCTAAGTCACCCAGAGTCACCTTATAGAGGAGGTGACTGATATAAAAATTAAACAAATAAACAAACAAACAAATAAATCTAACTCTAACCTACACAATTCATAGAAACTGCAGTGATTAATTTAACAATCATGGCAAAAAAAAAAGATTGTAAAATCAGGTGTGACTCACTTAGCAACCATTTTAGCAATGGAAATTCTAGTCCCAATTATGCTCATAAGTCGAGGATTACCCAGACAATAAGACATTCTTGGCAATAAAAAGAATATTGACAATCAGAAACTGCAAATAGCATTGTGTTGCCCTTTTATGAACGGAAAAGTGTGCTTTCTCTGACAGCCATCTATTTCTTCCTAATTTCAAGATTGACTCAACCTTCCATCCTTCCGAGGTGGGTAAAATGAGGACCCAAATTGTTGGGGGCAATAGAATAGGCTGACTCTGTAAACTGCTTAGAGAGGGCTGTAAAGCAGTATATAAGTCTAGGCGCTATTGCTAATACTAGGGCCAGTCTGAGTCTTAGACATACATGGCTATGGCTGAGAACAATTCGCTTCTGATATCATTCCAGCCCCATTATTCAGGCCAACTTGGTCAGTGACTTCTAGTCTCTGCTGCCCACAAATAGAGTGTTTCACCACAAATATGGAAGTGAGATCATTGCTGTTCCAGAGGCCAGGGGCAGTGACAGAGAAGCATGCTTTCCCAGTCAGACAAGATGACACTGTTTAATTGAGGAGACTTGAAGCATGTTCACTCTGCCCAAACATCCCAGCTGGGCATAAACTTGGAGATAGGTATTGTAGTCCCACAATTAACCATGGCTTATACCATGAAGGGCTTTATAGGTAACAACCAGGACCTTGAATTGCACCCACCCAGAAGCCAACTGGCCAACAATGCAGCTCGTGTAGCAATAATGACCAAAATGTGCCTATTATTGTGCTTGCTGTTCCATTCTTGAATCCACTGTAGCTTCTGGATGGTCTTCAAGGGCTGCCCTATGTAGAGTGCATTGCAGTAGTCCACTTTCAAGGTGACTGAGGCATGAAAACCATCTGAAGTTGAGGAGGAACATACAACATGAAACTGGGCTAGGATATGGCTTTTGCTGTGGCTTTTGAAGATTGATAGAAACTGGGCCCAGCCAGTGTTTAACTCTATGTAAGATATATTCTTTTGCTTTTATACTTCAGAGTTAGAATATTTCAGATTATTCATAGAGTTGCCAGCATCAGCATAGTTTATATTATCAACCCTAGATTGGGTTTGAATAAAGTAATTTCCTATGTCCTGGATAAGAACCATAAATAAACAAATAAAGGGTTTGAATAGGGCAATTTCCTATGTTCTGAATAAGAACAATAAAAATGGTTTCAATAAGGTAATTTATTATGTCCTAGTTAAGCACCTTACACAAATAAAATAAAATAAATAAATTTTAAAAATGTGCACTCATAGATTCAGATATACAGACAGTTAGACTATGGGATTACCTACCCCAAATTATTGTCCTTGAGTTGTGTTGGGACTGAAATGTTCAGAGCTTGTGAATTAATCAATTGCTGTAGGATAGCATCTGGAAACCAGAAATAACCATTTGGGTTATTTCTGCACCAGAGATCTGATTTGGTTATTCCCTCTTTCCAAAGAAAGTTGAGAGATGTAATTTATGAATTGGATGGCATATGTGAATATTTTGCAAATATGGTTCCTCTGTTTGCGAATATGCTTTCTTTCTTTTTTGGAGGGGCTAGGGGGGGAATAGCTAAGTGGTCACCATTATGGAGAGCAGGGTAGGGATCTCCACCATCAAGATTGGCATATGTAGACTGCAACTATGTGGTCAGTCAATAGGTGGCAGCAAAGAGACCCTGAAACACTATAGTATTTCCTTTGGTGCTACCAAGTGGTAATGCAGATGTTGACAATTTAGATATGCTAGTGTTAGTCCTACAATAGAATCTTAGCAGTGATTAGCATAAATCACAAACACTAAGAATCTTTCCGGGGCAAACTATGATACACATTTGCAACCCCATTCTAATTGATTAAGGCAAGATAAAGGATATAAACAATCTATAGTTGTTCTGTATTAACTATGGTTTAATACAATGTTTGAATATAGTTGTTGTTTTCAGAAGAATGCACTCATACATTACAGAGCTGCCATCTTAAGTGAATGTAAAAGAGATGCATCTCTAAAGACAAGAGCACATAAAATGTGTGCTGAGAAAATATAAAATTCTCACAGCAGGAATACACCTTGAAGGAAAATATTTAAACTATGGACAAACACATATTTTTAAGTTTAAACAAAAATGAATTGACGCAGAGTCTTCCTCATTCTTAAGTAATGTACAGGATCTGATAAGACACTTTTTCTAACCTGCATCTTGTAAAACAAATACTAAATATCTGATAAAGCTCTTTTTTCTATCCTGTATCTTGTAAAACAAATACTAAACTGCATGCCATTTAATTCGAGTTCTATTAAAAGCACAATTTGGGGCATATCTCTTAAGCAAATTCACTGAGCCCCTTGGTCCTTGGTTCTAGCTAAATCAGCATTGTCTTTAAGCTTAACTAAGCTCTTCAGAGCAGTTAGTGACTGTTTTAAGATTACAATGGCACTGAAAAAAGCGACTTACGGCCATTTTTTATGCTTACGACCATTGTGGCATCCCGATGGTGATATGATCAAAATTCAGATGCTTGGCAACTGATCCATATTTATGACGGTTGCAATGTCCAAGGGTCGTGATAATCTTTTGCGACCTTCTGATGAGCAGAGTTAATGGGGAAGCCAGATTCTCTTAAAAACCATGTGATTGACAACTGCAGTGATTCACTTAACAACTGTGGCAAGGAAAGTCGTAAAATAGGGCAAAATTCACTTAACCCTTTCATTTAGCAACATAATTTGGACTCAGTTGTGATCATAAACCAAGGACTACCTATACACCTACATCTGGTAATTGATTATTCAGTAATAAAGGATTTGATAATAATCAAATCAGTGTCTCTAATCTGTGAGGTAATTTCTGTTTTTCTCTCTTTGTATGTCATTTTGATGATCCCCTACATAAAGCTGCGTTACTAACACCCCCTCAGAATATTACAATTCTGTCCACCAATATGAAGCACTTTCTCATTTGGAGCCCAGTTGCTGAGATTGCGCCTGGCGAGGTTGTAAAATACTCGGTCGAATTTCAAGGGTAAGTTCTTCTCATCTTGAATACCGGTTGCCTAAAGGCTACTCAGCATGACTGATAACTAAATATGTGCTCCTAGATATCTTCAACTTATACCAACTAAATACGTTAGACTAAGATACAACTGGTCATACCAGCTGCGAGTAGTAGAAGTTACAGTCCCACAAGTCGAGATTACAAGATGAAGGAAAGCTTTTTTTTTTTGTTATACTCAATAAAATACTTAGCTAATAATGAGGAGACACCACAGAGATTTATGAAGTTATGTATGCTATGAAGCAGTGGTCACCAACTGGTGGTCCGCGGGAAAATTTTGGTGGTCCGCAGAGAAATGTCACTCCCAAAGCAATTAATCCAGGCTGCGCAGGAACACAAGACTGCACCACCCACATGGCCCGCAGAAACACAAGGCTTGCATCGCTTGCATTGCAAACAACACGAGGTAGTGAAGGGAGGGGGGAAAGGGCGGAGGGGGGGAACTTGCCCCACGTGCCTCACCTGGCCACTGAGCTGCTGCTTTCCACTTCTTTCTTCTGCTGCTTTTGGCTGCACTCAATTAAACAGACATGATATTCTTCCGATTAAAATCGGAATTCCGATTTTTTTGGGAATCGCCCCCCCTTCCCCCCCCTTCTTCTCCTCCTTCCCCTCCCCTCGGAGGCCCCGAGTCAGGAGTTGCTACCGCTGGTGCGGCTCTGCGTGGCTCCACTCCCGTGTTGCCTCAGGAAGGGAAAGGCAAAAAGGAAGAGTCGCGGTGGCGCTTTACAACGGCAGCAGCGGCTCCTGGTTTTGTCTTTCCCTTCCCGAGGCAACGCGGGACTGGAGCCGCGCGGAGCCGCGCCAGCGGTAGCAACTCCTGACAGCCCCAGCCGGATACCTGAGCGGAGGGCGGGCGGTGCGAGCGGAGCCCATGCGGGCGGGCGGTGCGAGCGGAGGCCGCTGAGCGGCAGGAAAAGGGAGCTGGGCAGCGATTTCTTGGCGCGCGGTGGGGGGGTCTCTTTTGGCCGGCCCCGATTTTTTTTTCAGAGGGGAATATCATGCCTGATTAAAGCAGCAAAAGTCTTTCTTTCTCTCCCCCAAACTCCACCAGAAATGAGTCTTTGGGACCCTGCAAGGCATCCTGCTCCAAGAGGCTGCGCTGGCAAAGACTCATTTCTGGCAGAGTTTGGGAGAGAGAAAGAAATACTTCTGCTGCTTCTGCTGCTTTCCTTGCATGAAGCCAAAAGTCTCTCCCTCTGAGAACGGAGCTGGAGACTGTATCCTGCAATCCCAAATAAAGAATGATCGATCGGTAGGAAAATGGGGTGGGGAATTTTCCTGCTAACTTTTTTGGGGATTTTCCCAGGGTCTCTACAGGAAGGGAAACTTAGCCCCTTTCTTTGTGGACAGTTACAGCACCCAAATGGTTTGGCAATCCCATTTTGCCTCTTGATCACATAATGCTGACTTTAATTTTGTCTTCTATCTATATATTTTTAAGAAGTCTTAGGCACCAGTTTTTTATGTACCACTTTACTTTTCCATGGTTATTTAACTGACCATTGTTTGGGGGAACAAGGTTGACTGGTTAAGTCTTTAATCTGATTCAGCAGGCCCTGTTATTACTCGAAAGGCTATCAGGGTGAGGTAATTTTTTTCCATTAGGGATTTCTGGTATAGGAAGGACAGGCAGCTAGGAAAGTAGAAAAATGTGTTAACACAACACCACAAAACACAGAAGTCGCACCCTCTGTCACCTCCACCCATGAAGTAAGTTCAGAAAAGTCCACTGAGAGAAATTTGAAAGAAATTCTCAAGCACCCTGACAATTAGGTAGAAAAATAGGAGCCTTTTTGACCAAGTTTCTTGGAAACTGCAAGGCAAATTTTAGATAAGATCCAAAGCATCTTGGTGTATGCATGGAGGATGGGTTTACTTGTTCCAAAAGTTGAGCTCCTTCAAAATTCCTCCTCATCAGGATACAAATGCAGGAATGTAAGATGGAAAAATCTCCCAAAACAGGAGACTGTATCACTTCAGACTACTAGAGAGTGATATCCTTTTTTTCCCCCTTCTACTTCCTTTTAAACAATGAATGGAACAACTTGCCTCCAGAAGTTGTGAATGCTTCAACACTGGAAGCTTTTAAGAAGAGATTGGACAATCATTTGTCTGAAATGGTATAGAGTTTCCTGCCTAAGCAAGGGGTTGGACTTGAAGACCTCCAAGGTCCCTTCCAACTACTCTACTCCACTCTACTCTACTCTACTCTACTCTACTCTACTCTACTCTACTCTACTCTACTCTACTCTATTCCCCTTAAGAAACCAAAGTGCAATTAAAAAAACATTGGGAGAAAGTTCTACAGAATAACAGAATTGAAAGGGACCTTGGAAGTCTTCTAGTCCAACCCCTTGCTCAAGCAGGAAACCCTATACCATTTCAGACAGATAGTTGTCCAATCTCTTCTTAAAAGCTTCCAGTGATGGTGCACCTCCATCTTCCCACAAATCGTTCCACTGATTAATCGTTCTCACTGTCAGGAAATTTCTCCTTGGTTTTAGGTTGCTTCTCTCCTTGATTAGCTTCTGTCCATATTGGGAGAAACTTCTAAATCAGATCCCCACCTACTAAACTTGTTTTCTACTCCCAAGTAATTTAAGAATAGCGTTTCAAATGTTTTATCTGCTGTTTGGAGTGATGAAATCTCTTTTCCCGCCTTAAAACTTTGCCATGGCATTCTGTTGCATGTATAGGCAAGCTAGGCATGCAATAGTATTGCAAGAAATTAACACATGCATGGTTGGACTAGTATCCCTGCCAGGTTTACATGCCTTTGGGCTTCATCACATTGTAATGCAGATGTGCGGTTGTAGGTCGGGGTGGAAGAAATGCTTTCATTCAGAAAGGAGATTCAACTACAATCTTTACGTTCTCCTTTCTCTGTGACATGAACAAGCACAGCAACCATGGGACAGGTGGAAGCCACAGGTAGATCATCATCTCCAGGAGGTCCTTTGGGCCATCCACAGCAATGTGCTTTCTTCTCATTCTTGAAGGCCTGTTGCTGTGTCCTCAACAGTAAACAGCCCTTCTTTGCTCCAGGGCAAGGAGGGTGGGTGGATGAGATTTTTGTCAACATTCATTAGGGCAAAATGAATGTTCTTTGAATTGAACATCTCAGGCATCTAAGCCCTTCATGGCATGGGTCCAAATTACTTGAGGCACTGTTTCATCCCTTTGGATTGGCCCATCCCACCTGTGCTGGCAGAGGAGGCATGCCGTGGGCCCCATTGGCCACAGTATTCTAGCTGGCAGGGAACACCGATACACCTTCCCTTTGGAACGTCTCCCCTCCCACTTCAGGTGAGCTGCAACCCTCCTGGCCTTCCATAAGAGCCTAAAGATCTGGCTGTGCCAATTAGCTTGGGGCTCCAATGGAAAAGTTTCACATTGGAGGTATTCGGTAGATGATTAATGGATCCCACCTCCCCTCCTCCTCCTCCTATTTGTCCCTCCCTGTCTTTTAATTTGGGATCTTTACAGTATTTTATTTATGTCTCTTAGGTGTTGTATAGTTTTTATCTTTTTAAGATTTTAAGCTGCCCAGAGTTACTCAGTGGTAAGATGGGTGGCCAGTAAATTTTATTTTATAAATAAATAAATAAATTGCAGCCAGAAAAGTAGGAAAATACATTGAAGGAGAGAAGGAAGAGGGTGAGAAACAAATATAGAAAAAGAGGCAAATGTAGAAAGACTGGTATGAACATACATTGTTATATATAAATACACATTATGCTAAGATGCTATTTCATTTATCTATATCCCGCTGTTAATTTTTACAAGTAACTGAGAGTGGTGAACATATCCGACATGCCTTCCTATTCTTCCTACAACAATAACCCTGCGAGGTGAGTTGGCTGAGAGTGACTGGCCCAAAGTCACTCATCTGGCTTCATGGCTAAGGCCTAGAACTCACAGTCTCCCACTTTCTCACCTGGTACCTTAACCACAAGACTAAGCTGACTCTGTATACAATTTAACATTAGCTTAGTGTGTGAGAATCTGGCTTTTGAAAATTATAAATCATGATCTATGACTTAGAACGTGGGTAGACTTGAGTACATCTATGAATTAAACTTTGGGCATTTCTATAAAACAATTAACAACAGAAATAATAATAAAATAACTTTTAGCTGAAGGGTACAGACCTTGTGGTCTTCCAGTTGTAGTAAAATGATTGCTTCCGATAGCTCTAGGCAGCATTAACCTAACAGTGAGAAATTTGGAATAGTAATTCAGCTAAATTTATTCATTTGTTAAAATTATACACTGCCTGACTCAACAACTATGGGTGGTTCACAAGTAAAAACATATTTTAAAAAACTAACCTCTGGAGAGCCATGCCTTCCCTTTTCTTCCATTAGATCCACCAACGGGAGCCAGTTATAAGAGAGAGGCTGAAAGCTCTATTCCAGGGGTGTCAAACTCAATTCCATTGAGAGCTGCATTAGGGTTGTGTTTTACTTCTGGGGGGGGGGGGGGGGGGGGGGGGCATGGCCAGGGTGGGTGTGGTCAGCTTGACATCACTCATGGTGGTCAAGTGCTAA